GCGGTGATGGTGATGGTGGTGGCATCCGTGGCTGGCAACCTCGCGGCGGCGGTGGTGGCCAACGTGGTGAACAACGCGGTGGTGCAGAGCGTAGACCTGGCATGTATCGTGGGCGCGGTGATGGACTTGGCAGTTATCCTGCCTCTGAATCATCTGTAAGTAAGAACAAATTTAAGATTTAAAGAGACTTGATTTAATTAATTTTTATTCATTTGATATTAGAGTTTTGGTAGTTTGCCGTCAACAGCAAGTTGTGGATCTTCTCATCAGTCCGATGTGTCCATTTCCAGTGTTTTCATGAGTATGCCATAAAATATATTATTTAACCAGACTTATGTTGACGTAAATATTTTCCTTTAGTTCTCCCAGTGGTTCTCTCAGTTCAAACGTTCACCAAAGTCATGATAACACTGAGGCAGCAACTATTGATATGCAGATTATGACAATAATTATGATTGTTCTTTCTATGATATTTTATATTGTTTCTTTATGTTGTTATATCCATATCTATAGCTGCAATTGACCAAATACGTGGCATGTGAGGAAAACGTATTTTAACTGACGTTATACAACATACTCGACCAGCGTCGTGCGTAAATAAGCAAGGTGCAGTTGGTCGTCCAGTTATGGTTCGAGGATACGTTGTTGGTGGTATTTTGCTATTTTCTACACAAAATCTGAAAAGTATAATGATGAATGTTGTCCATAAGATACTAACAACGGATCGTGCAGGAAATACAGTACAAATTAAAATTAAACATGTTGGCATAGTAGAATTAACAGATATGCAACAGATGCATGTACTCAACTTGATTTTACGTTGATCTATGGAAGGCTGGAAACTACAACAATTGAATCGAAATTTCTTTGATCCAGTAGCTAAAGTAAGTTTAGTGTAATTGTTTAATGAAGTTTATAGGATATATTACCTCTATTCGTCAGCATGAATTGGATGTACTGATGTGTGCTGAAATTGCACATAAGGTCTTGCGCACTGATACAATTTACAACATTTTGACTCAATTAGTGAAAGTGTCATCAGATTATCAAAACGCATTTAAGGCCGAAGTAATTGGTAAGTAGTACATAGTAATATCTAGAATAAAATCAAATGATTATCAATACTTCAATAATAATCAATAATAATACATTGTTACAGGCATGGTAGTAATCACTGATTATAATAACAAAACATATCGTGTGAGTGATATAGATTTCGGTATGTCGCCCAAATCCACTTTCAAACGAAAGGAAAAAGATGTCACATTCGTAGATTACTACAAACGAGTAAGGAGAAATTCTCTTATAACAAATAACAAATATATAGTCTTAATAGTAACTTTATTTATTCATTTTTAAATTTTTGTTTAAAAAAAAATTTATGAAATACTAGATATCCCGGCAAGCGTTGTTTTGCCATATAAATTAGTTCAAGTGATTATTATTTTTTTTTAAATGAATGATAATGAATGTATTGTAATTGTGTGACAATGTGCTGTATGATAAAAAGAGGAATTGAGCGCTGTAGACGATGATCGCCGATCAAAAGGAAAAAACACCAACCATTCGTTTTCTTGATTCAATATATTTCATTAAAATAACGGACATATTCCTTGTTTGATCTCTTAAAAGTTAAATTTAGTTAAATTCAAGAAGTAATATGTTTATTCGTGTTTAGCCAACACACATAGGCTTGATAGTTTGCCCACGCGAGAACATGCCACGTGTCCAAACCTAAGCCGTAAACAGACATCGTTTGGCCTTCCGACTTATTGATGGTAAAATAGAAGTAAAATAACCGGCGGTCCAACTTACAGTCATAGAATGTGTGGTGGTGGCATGCCTAACAAATCCAGTGACTCTAAAAACTCACAAACTTTATCTATCGATTCTATATACAGTTTTCAACCTTCAGGCATGCCGATGAGCAATCCGTTCAATGGCTATGGTGGTTTCTTAATTTCTGGTAGTTGTACTTTATCTAATGCGCAACACATCACGGCTGACTCTTGTTTGAATTTCAGTGCATGATGCATGACAATAAGGGCATTTTTTGTCCATAAAACCAATCGACATTATAGATGTGCGGAATATCAATATCTGGCTCGTACTCGAATGCAAGACGAAGGAACAAAATGCTTGATGTAGTTGTTGGCGCAGTCGGTCATTGGTTCTGCGTGTGTTAATTACGAACCGGCGCCCTTTTCTCCGTTATAATTATCGTTGTTGATTTCGTTCAGCTCGTACCTCTTGTATTTGAAATTCACAAATACAATATATTGTTACGTAATCGCCTGCGTGATTATTCGTATCTCAGGATTTTGTAAAACATGAAACGAACTTTAGAGAATTGGAGAAACTATATTTATATATTTTGTGTATTACAAAGAACTAGTATTAATTAGGAGTCAATTTAATAAAAACCACAGCTTCACACCAAACAAATTTCCAAACTCCTTTTATAAAAATATCAATTGACGTAATGTTTAAATAATATTTAAACATTTCATTGCTACTCTGATGAAATTCATAACATTGCCCTCCTCTTAAATCTGTTCGTCCCGAACAGGAATTACCACATCATTGCAGTAAGGTGCCAGTAGTTCCAGATGCACCACTTTCTTTTGAGCTCTATGATGCCCCGACTGTTGAATTCGACAAACACCATCACAGATCTTCGTTCCATCAAGAACAGGGGGCTCCAAACAAACATCACAACATCTTCATCAGACACAAATTGCGAACACACACCGTTCTCTTTCAAGATTTTCAATATTTGCTTACTTACTAATTGTAGAAATTCTATATTTATTTACAAATTGCTTATCCTATACTTCTAGCTATTGGGTGGAGATTTTGAGTATCACCATCATCATTAACATTTCAGTTCCTGGTCAATAGGAGCGGTCTTCTGATAAATCAATGAATTTCATCTAATTGGTTCCGCCTACTTCCAGTGTAGTCACATGTCATCTTGCCGCAAAGTACCGTTATTCCGAATTTTAAGCCCGCGTCGTCTGAGTCACCCTGATAAACCTCCATTTGCAAATAGCTGTCACTATCATCAATGCTACTTACGTTAGGCGCAACAAACTTGTCAATGCATTGAGTATGCCAATCAGGAATGTACTGATTAACAAAAACCGCACCATCAGATATATCAATATCTGTTGTATAATCCTCATTATTTGTTATATCCGAAACGAACAAGACATCCCTGACATCAGCATCAAATTTACTATCCGTAGCTAATACGTCATCTGTGATATCCTTATGAAACAAGATATTTCCATTAATTGTCACGTTCTCATCATCTATGAGGTCGGCATCAACGTTTAATGGTATATCTTTATAAGATAACGTATCTGCGACCAACAAGCCCTCTGCGATCTCCGCATCATATTTGATTTCCTGATTAATCCTGAAAACTTTATCAACTGCACTGCCAGCATCGATTTGAGTATCTGTAGCCAACATGCTATCAAAGACATCCGCATTGGATGGAATATCAACAGCTAACATGTTATCTGTCTTAAGTGGCATATTTGCCGGGAATATGTCATTTGTGCCAATTGCTTCACATGGAATAACAACATCGCATGTGAAATCTACTTCAAATGGAATACCCTCAACATATATAACATATGGGGACTCTTGCTCGTCCAAGCAGATGTTAATTTCAACTGATTCAGCTATACCAAAGCCGATTAACACGAAATCATAACTACCTAAACCGAAATAGTCTTTCCTCCTTTTCTTTCTTCTGTTTCTTTTTTCCCTATTCATTATTTGAATCAGTCTTCTTCTTTCTCTTATCTTCTCTCTTGTCTTCTCTCTTATTCTTCTTTCCTTTCTTCTCTTTCTTCTATTTCTTTTTACCTTCTTTCTTGTCTTCTTTCTTGTCTTCTTTCTTGTCTTTCTTCTTGCCTTCCCCTCTGTCTTTCCTTCTGTCTTCCTTCTTGTCTTTCTTCCTGCCTTCACTCTAGTTTTCATTTTCCGTACTTTTGCTGTAAAGGAACACATTATACCGGCAGCTTCGTACGTCAAAGCGCCGCTAACCGTTTCAGAGTACGTCTCCTTTGAGAACATTACGACCTGACGCTTAGTTTCCGGATCACGTATACCGTCTATTAAAGTGTCGACTTTACTCTTCACCATAATATCACCAGAGCTACCAATGTAAACCAAGTTACACAACCGTTCAATGTCGGCAGAGTACTCTCCAGGACTCTCGTCAACAAGCGGGGCTCTTGCTTCCAGTATTACCCTGTGTAATGGAGCCATAGAAACGTTACCGTACTTGCGCTCCAATGTATCCATTACAGCTTGGTAGCTTTTATGTTGTTCGGGTGGAATTTGTTTTAAAACTTCTGCCGCACTACCTTTTAGTGCCACAATCAGTGATTCCGTTTTCTCACCAATATTCCAATTATTTGTTGCAGCCGCTATTTCAAATTTGAGTTTGAACACTTCAAAAGCCTCGCTCCCATCAAACGTCGGTGCCTGCAGTTTAACGCTACCAGTTTGACGAATGGCTGAAGATGACCCGCTTACCTGCCTACTCTCAGCGTGGTTTTCCAATTGAACCGTCTCACCTTTTGAGACCTGGACATTCTGATCAATCGGGTCCTTCCTTCTCGAGCACCTTTTTTGGACTTGTTGTAACTCCATCTTTAATTCGACAAAATTTTGTCCTAATGTCTGCGTGATTTCACTAAATTGTTGTTCCAGCTTTTCTTCCAACTTACGTAAACCGTGCGCCTGTTCTTCAGAATTTTTCTCAATCTTCTGCATCATTAAGTTCATGATTGCCATCATTTCACTATTCGTGTCAGATTCTTCATCGAGGAACTCGTGTTCTTCTTCATGTATGCCATCAGCCTCCAACTCGTCACGAAGTCTCAACTGCAGTTCCGCTTTCGCACCACCTGTGCCAAGTCCCACTTTCTCCAACTGCTCTTTTAGTTGAACCACAGTCAATTCTTCCAATTTCATCATTTTACAAAATCCCACTTCTGACACCAAATGTTACGTAATCGCCTGCGTGATTATTCGTATCTCAGGATTTTGTAAAACATGAAACGAACTTTAGGATTGGAGAAACTATATTTATATATTTTGTGTATTACAAAGAACTAGTATTAATTAGGAGTCAATTTAATAAAAACCACAGCTTCACACCAAACAAATTTCCAAACTCCTTTTAAAAAAATATCAATTGACGTAATGTTTAAATAATATTTAAACATTTCATTGCTACTCTGATGAAATTCGTAACATTGCCCTCCTCTTAAATCTGTTCGTCCCGAACAGGAATTACCACATCATTGCAGTAAGGTGCCAGTAGTTCCAGATGCACCACTTTCTTTTGAGCTCTATGATGCCCCGACTGTTGAATTCGATAAACACCATCACAGATCTTCGTTCCATCAAGAACAGGGGGCTCCAAACAAACATCACAACATCTTCATCAGACACAAATTGCGAACACACACCGTTCTCTTTCAAGATTTTCAATATTTGCTTACTTACTAATTGCAGAAATTCTATATTTATTTACAAATTGCTTATCCTATACTTCTAGCTATTGGGTGGAGATTTTGAGTATCACCATCATCATTAACATTTCAGTTCCTGGTCAATAGGAGCGGTCTTCTGATAAATCAATGAATTTCATCTAATTGGTTCCGCCTACTTCCAGTGTAGTCACATGTCATCTTGCCGCAAAGTACCGTTATTCCGAATTTTAAGCCCGCGTCGTCTGAGTCACCCTGATAAACCTCCATTTGCAAATAGCTGTCACTATCATCAATGCTACTTACGTTAGGCGCAACAAACTTGTCAATGCATTGAGTATGCCAATCAGGAATGTACTGATTAACAAAAACCGCACCATCAGATATATCAATATCTGTTGTATAATCCTCATTATTTGTTATATCCGAAACGAACAAGACATCCCTGACATCAGCATCAAATTTACTATCCGTAGCCAATACGTCATCTGTGATATCCTTATGAAACAAGACATTTCCATTAATTGTCACGTTCTCATCATCTATGAGGTCGGCATCAACGTTTATTGGTATATCTTTATAAGATAACGTATCCGCGACCAACAAGCCCTCTGCGATCTCCGCATCATATTTGATTTCCTGATTAATCCTGAAAACTTTGTCAACTGTACTGCCAGCATCGATTTGAGTATCTGTAGCCAACATGCTATCAAAGACATCCGCATTGGATGGAATATCAACAGCTAACATGTTATCTGTCTTAAGTGGCAT